AAATAACCGAATCGAAACTTGTTCCGACAATCGAACAAAACCCAGTTAACCGCGAAATACCGCCAATTAAAACAAATTCTGAGCAATATTAGCTGAGGACTCAACTAGGGTTCCACCACCAGCAGCTGACCACTGGTGTGATCAATCAGCACGTGACCACATGGTGTGCACTCCGTGATTGAGAGAAGAGTTACTCAGCATATTCGGTCCAACTATGAGCGTGCCGCAATGACGATCAGCCTTTCATCCCCAAAACGGTTAAGTGTTCAAACACTGGCCGGAAGGTGGCGAATCGTCTTAGAGATTAAGTTGCCTTTCGAAGACCGCTTTCTTGCCGACATTGTCTGGCATTACACCTCAACTTGTCAGAAACAGTTGGAAGTGTCATTTGGTGCCCATTGTTGCATAAATGTTGCTGATGGATCACCTCGTGGATTTGAAAAAAACATTCCCGTCCCCTTGTCATGAACGGGAGTTTAAAGCGTCAGAAAGCCCATTTAAGATTTTATATCCGAACGGAGAAAATTTTTGCACAAAATGAGCCTGTTAAAAAAAATTACATAATATTACGGACCTTGTTGTGGCACTAGGATATCGAATAATCCATTCCGTCTCCAAAAGTACAGTTTGCAAAAGTCCCCACAGTGGCACCATACATTAAATTGAAGCTAGCAGAAAGTGGCGAGGCTTAACTTATCGCACATGCACTTTTTGCATTAGTGGTTGAGCTTATCTGGAAAAGATCCGGCTGGTCTTCTGATCCCTCACACGATAAATATTCACAAAGAGCGTCCGTAGAAAATCTCACGACAAAAGACTTGACCAACTCTGTTGTAGTAGTCTACTAGAGCAGATCTTTCAAAGGTGTAGTTCGACTGAACAATATTACCTTGTTTATAGAACGTTAGAGTCATCACATAATACAACAGATTGATACCAGTTATCCCCAGTGTTTCCAATCCCAGATATATCATTTTTTATTGCTTAGTAGCTTTCATGAGTTGTCTCATTATTTAAGTTGTTGACCGCTCTTTTCATACCAACCGCTCAAAAACAGCTTTACCCAGCGAGTGTACTTTGAGGTCTCTAACTCGTCAGCCGAGTTAACAACTAGTCAAAAAGAAGGGTAAACCATCATCTACACGTTTAGTTCTAAGGTATGAACGTGGCGCTAGCATTCCTTGGAACTTGCTTTAAAGAAAACTCGGTGGTTCGGTTTTCACAGCAGCTTAATATCACAAAAGAAAACGAAGTTTGTGCTTTTTGACCTGAATATCAATACTGTGGTACCCAGTTTATGGGTGCCATCTCCGTTTAAGACCATACTGGGATATCCCTCGCCCCATATCATCTTGGGGGGGGGGCGAGATAGCTCAAGTGGTTAGAGCGTGAATTTACTGACCAGAAGGTTTGTGGTTCGAACCTGACCTCTGCCTCTCGACTTCCCCTGTCTGGGCTTGCGCAACCTGGCAGTATTCCGACCCTCGTGCTTCCTTCTGGTGACTAGGCAGTTAGGCACCGAAGCGGTGTCAGAGATGAACGAACGGCTGCTCCTCAACAGGTAATTAACCCGCAGAGAGTTGATTCAACGTCTAATACGTGTCCAGACATTTTTAAAAGGCTACTGTAGTGCTCGCGTCACATTCCCAATCGCTTATTTTTTAGGTTTGCTCTACTCCATAGACCTTCCTTTAACCTGAAAACTTGCAATGATTATTGAAATTCCAAGATTGGTGTGGCTTTGATGGCCACCACTTCATTAACCCTACTAACACGCGTTTCAAACCGGTGGGAAGTACATTAAAACAGCGCAATAATCGCTTGCTCTCATCTTCACCGTCCAGTATGACTTTATTTCAGGATATCCTGTTTCACCAACTTTGCAATGTTTGGTTGTAGTCTCAGAAAAACTTCTTAACTCGGCTTAAGTTGTTCATACTTTTCTAACACCTTTATTCCTAAGCCGCATTGGCCTTTACTCGAGTCATCTTCCCGGATGAATTAGTAACTTTCTTTGTAGAAGATGAGCAAGTCAGAGTTGAATTTGATCTCTTTTGTTATTCTGGTCCGATATCTGAAATCCTCTAGGAGCCACTACTAAACCTAATTAATGTAAACGACCTTCCAGACGCCATCTTACAATCTTTGTTTGTAAGCCGATAACCCGAATATCGTGTCAGCCAATCAAGCGTCCCAAACTAATCAGCTGATTAGTTGGTCGGGATTTCTCGCTCAATCGTTCTCCTAAATGCAACCCATTTCAGTTTTTTTTTAACTTCCTTTCATCCTTTCGGTAACGCGGACACTCATCCACTTTATTCTTACTTCGGGATGTCTGATTTACAGAATTAGTAATTCTCGTTTGATCCGCCGCACGTTTCCCTTTCACGCTGAACTCCAACTTTTGTTTTCTGTAGACGAATTTAAAGCGCTGTCGTTGACTCTAGCCATGTTGAACGTGCATTGACGCACTCAGCAAAGTTCAAACAGGGGCCAATAGATGGTCTTGAAGATTAGCCATCAGAAGGCCAAGTTAACTCATCTTTCTTTGCCTTATCAACTAGGAAGCTAGGTACCCGCTTCTTTTCCAGATAAGCCCCGCGAAAAAATTAACCCTTACCACCCAAAAAAGAGGATATGAAATTCGTACTTTTAGTTTTCACTAAAGAAGGTGAAATTGAAATATCTCATTAATAAGTTGCATGATAAGGTCCGTTTTTCGGTACCTTTACCTCCAAAGGAACTCACACAAGTAGCTGCCCACCTCTTTAGTTTCCCGGCAGGTCCCTCTGAAAATCCATCACTGGGGAAGGACTCGCCCTGCGTGATTTTCGCGGCGAGATAGAATAGAATTACTGTCCTAAAATCCATCCTAGACCCCTCCAGCCAAGTCCCCTTTCGAAGACCGAT